CGGGCAACACGGGTGTTGTGGTCTTCATTCATTGTTTGATCAAGATGGCTCATCTTGCGGCTGTGCCGGACACTATCGACGGTGTCATGCAGCGACGCTGTATGTAAATCGTGTCTTTTGACAACATAGATTTCTGGAGTCAATTGTCTCTGACAAAGACCCACGCTTCACTGGGAAGTTTTGGTCGACGATCTATAAGGTGCTGGTGACCAAGTTAACTATGCAACGAGGTTAAACAGACCCTGGTGTACGGAGGTGGATCACCCAAGATGGTGTGACCGTACAAAGTAGTAGATTACTGTGATCGGTGTTACCGTACAAAGAAGTTGATTACAGTGATCGGTGTAATCACACAAGACTGTAACGTAACAAGAAGCACTACGTTGCGGGACTGTCAGTAGTTATGCATATTAATCAGGTTTTACTATTCAATCAGGAAAATCTAAGGTATTAGATATAGGCGGCCTGCCGCAAATAAAATAGATAAATACTGTCTCAATTTTGAATGAAACAGTTTATTTACCTCTGATTACTCTTAGAGTAAGTGGTTGGGATCCGCTACACTCGTACTGGTTCTTGTAAATAATGTAAGGTCGATGACCTTAGCTTAGCTTCCTCTAAGCAAAAGAGCTACTGCAGCCCGTACTAGACTGTGAACCTTGAGCACTACAAAATCACTGTATTTTCTATGTAGAACATGAAATTGTTACATTAAGTGCTCTGGAGTCTATCTTGGTGCAATTGCGCTTCGAGCACAAAGAAGGATGCCGAAAAAAACTGTTGAAAGCGGAAGATCTACTAGAAGCCGTTGGGTGTGCTACATAAAATTTGGAGATCCTCATATTTCATATAACTTTGCGCGTCTGTGTGTATACTTAGATTATTGTAGTAGCCGATGTTAGAGGTTACTCCGGAGTGTTACACATGTACAATGAGGTATAACGCAACACAACTATACAATATTTCAAATTTTGTTAATAAGCCAGGTTTCCACATGGACTTTAACGGCGCGAGTTTCCCGACATTGACACCACGAATCAGCGAGCTGTATGGGGCCAGTCGCTACGCATTTCGTGTAGGAGAAGCAAGCGCTTATGCTCAGGATTTGTATGAGCTTGAACACGAAGAGAAAGCACTAGAAAATATGATCCAGGACTTGGTTAATCGTCAAGCATCAATTCCAATCGGCGTCAATTTCCATCGCGAAGGTACCGGTAATGTAGCTAAGCTGGCAGGTACTGACGCTCAAGCTTTACAAGGTGATCAAGCTCCATTCGACTTAGATCAAGCGCAATCGAGCCCGTCAGAGGAAGAAGATGAGGGTATAGATGAAGACGAGGACGAAATGATGGATGATGAAGAAGAAGAGATGACAACTGGCAGAGATACGATTGTACGAGAAGTCGTGCCGCAGAGAGATGAAGATTCGTCTGGTCGTAGTATTGACTCTCAGGACGACTCAATGGAGATGGAAGTGGAGGTCTCATTTACAGAAACAACTTAATACCCTCAGCAAATTATATGATTGTTAAAAACAAGCGCCCACTTCCTCGTACACAACATGTATCAAGTCAATTCTAGATCGCAATCAAGCGAAAATTGCGATAATTTGCACTTCTATCGTGCGCTAATATCGTTCTCCTGTACTCCAGAGTTATTCAACTCATTTTCATCATTTGTTGAAATCTCACCACGACACACTTCAGCAAAATTGTACAGACAACCACCATCAAACGGGTTGTGAAACTCGTCCATGGGAGTTTTCAAGTATGGGTATTTGTCCTTGTTAAAAACTTCGTTCGTCGTCAAGTTGCGACTTACGTTGCGTAGCTGAATGATAAGCAACATAGTCGTTGGTAATCCAAATACGGTAGCACAAAGCAGCAAGACAGCATGAAGACTGTGAAGCAGCAACGTTGATGACTTTGCCTGGAGGTCGCCTGATAGCGCCCAATCAGGTGGTCGCAACCATCGCCACGGCCACAGCGCTGCGGTTCCCTGCTCATCGTGAGTATCATAAGCAAGTGGGTGCAAAGGAAAGTGGCCCATTAAAATGTTCAGCGAGATCATTCCGATAGCGAAACAGAAGCTCGAAAGAGCCACAAGAAAGATGAGAAAACTGCGATGGTTACCGATGCCAACACAGTTATTAATCCACGGACAATGATGGTCAAACCGGTAGACACAGCGTCTACAGGCCGAGCAGTGCTTGGAACGCTGTGGCTTGCGCGTCACACACGTTGGACAAGGTACAGTCATCTCTTCCATTGCTAAGAGTTCATATGCAGGACGTGTGGAGCGTGGCACATATCCTGGGTCCTTCATGCACACGTAGACATATAGTATACACGTCACAGTCAAGAAAACTAGCCCCACTGTCTGATACCGCACAGTCTGGATTGGATTTCGAGGCGGTAGACACGGGACTGCAAATATCAGCGACAGCGTCGCGTTGGATATGACCATGACAAAGAAGAAGAGCACAGATGCGCCTCTACGCGATGCCCAGGCCACTAAACGATCTGATGCACCTGCTTTTAAGGCGCTTACTGTCTCGAAGTGTGCACCTTGTCGCGCTATATCCATTGCAGTTCGGCCATGTTTATCCTTCGCTTTCACTGGCGCTCCTTCTACTACCAGTTGTTTCGTTAAAAATGCGTCTCCAAGCGCACTTGCAATCATCAACGGCGTCTGGTTCTCGGAATCACATACTTTCTGATCTGCTCCGTAGCCTACAAGTAACATTGCTGTGTATTGAAATCCCTCGAACACAGCCCAGTGCAATGGGGTAGCCCCACGATTGTCAGCCTGATTCACATCTGCTCCACGAGACACTAAAAGACTTACGAGCGCAGCGTTACCAGTGCTTGCTGCATAGTGCATCGCTGACATTCCTGAGGAATTTGTTGCGTCTAAAGATGCTCCAGCATCGATCAATGTGGTTGCACAGGCTACTGACGTACACAACATTAAAGCTGTCGCGCGATGCTTTGAGTCTCCACAGCGACTGTTGAGAAAGTCTTGCAACGTGTCTTTCGTTACTTCGTCGTGTTCACGCTCCTGCGTCTCCGTGCTCGCGTTGCTATTTGTCTCTTCGTCTACAAGATCGAATTCATCTTTATCCGACATACAGTCAACACCACGCCGTGCAGAATTCTTTCGCTGTTTCTTGTAAAGTGTATCTCGTTCGCACGGGAGATACTTTTTTGCTGTAGATACGAGATACGCCACTAATGTCGGATGTTCGTAAAGCACTGCGAGATGCAAAGAATTCATCTGATGACGAGCTTCATATACTGTCAAAAGACGATAGACACTTTGAGCTACTCGTCGTCGGGTAGCGTCTGCAATAAGTGTATCCGTATGGTTTTCTTCCTGCATCTGTTCCTGTCGCTCAGCAGCTTGAAGTGCCTTACTGATAGCCATTTCCACGGCACTTTGTGCTTGAAAAAAATCTCCTTTCACACAGGCGGAGCCAAGTACTTTAGCAGGCGAAGCAAAATACTCGTATTGACTCTCACTTGCTTCCTCCTCTTCACTCTGAGGCTCATCTTCTTGATGTGTCAGTAAACCCAACAAATGGTCTGAGCGAGGTGGAGATGTTGCTAATTGATCCTCATTAGGCTCTTCTTTAGGTCTAAAGGGCGAAAAGACTGATGTGGATGGAGAAGAAGCCGCGTAATTCGGGGACAATAACGGTGCAGCAGAGCTCGAGATATCAGTGCGTGGTCGACCGATTAACGGTGTCAGTTCATCAGCCTTGGAAGCTGCTTGCATCGTACTTCTAGTTTCTAAATGTGGCATTTCCATATAAATGATGCAGGCAATTACCGGTAAAGCATTCGCTAACGACGGAGATGACGGAAGATTTAGCGTAACAAGGACCGCAGATGCGAGCAGTATAACTCAGCTCGTCACTGTATATGTCATTATTCTGAGGATATCTTTTCTGATCGCTAACCTGGGTACAATATAAAGCTGTAACGATCTTATGGCATCTTCATCCTCGGCTTCCGCTGTCTGGGACTCAGCAACGCAAACCTTCCACGGTGGTCAGGACTGGAAATTCTTATCAAACTTTGCTGAAGACTTTAGTGTGACTACCAATGGTCTAGGTACACCACAAAAGGCGCTAGAAGCTGCTACTCAGGCCATGCGAACGGTGCATCATTACCCGCCAGCGGACTTTCAGCCGGCCATTAGCCACTTGGCCGAGTTTTTATGGCCAGAATGCTGGCAACAAAATTTGCCCCTTTTGTTGATGGGTAATGGAGCTAGCGAACTCATTGATTTAGTAATTCGTAGTGTGCAGCCCGGTGGTTGGCGACCTGGTGGCACAATGACTCAGTACAAAGAATATGAGCGCTCTAGCCAGGCTGACGGACGCGAAACGCTTGAGTGGAATGATTCTTCAGCGGTTTTAACATGCCTTGTCAATCCAACCAACCCAACGGGCGATTACATGAACGTGAACGAAATGAAAAAGTATATCGAGAAAAATTGCCCTGACAATCACACCATCATTATTGACGAAAGCATGCAGCCGTGGTTAGGACCTGAGTGGCGTCAGGATTCGCTCATCTACCAGCGTGAATGGGTCAAGAATCTATGCGAGACGCGCCGCATCAATGTGTGGGTCATGACGAGCTGGACTAAAATCTGGTCCTGCACGGGCCTTCGTATCGGCAGCGTCGTTGCTCCGACGCCGCAACACGCAGCGGAGATTAAACGGAAACAGGTGCCGTGGTCCGTCAATTCCATGGCGTTAGCCTTTGTATCCGCTGTAGTGAAAGACGACTCTTACCTCCAAAAAACATGGGAAGTCACGCCAAAGTGGCGTGCTAATGCTGTGGATCAGCTGTCTAAGCGCTTTCCAACTTGGCAATTCTTTGGTAAAGAGTTTTTGTCATGGATCTGGATGGACACTCGAGCGGTTGCTACGTGCGAAGAAGCCTGTAAACTGGCCAAGGAGCACGGCGTGCCCGTACGCAGTGGCAAACCTGGTTACAACCTCCCGACATATATCCGCATCGCTGTTCGCAGCCCGGAGCAAACGGCTGTACTGCTAAAGGCCTGGGAGTCGCTTAAGTAAGCTCTCTAATTTTTTTTAATAGGGCTTTATGAAGCATTAACAACCAAAACATTAAACTAGCTTTATAACAATCTCATCGTTTCTTGCTTCCGCTATCGTCATTCTCTATCTGGTGATAATCGATTGTCCAGTCTCTTAAATTTACCCTCCCAGCCACGCACAACTTCCGTGTATTTTTCAATTAGATCGATCTTTTCCGCGAGCTCTGCCTCAAGATTGAGAATTTCTAGCTCGAGCTCACTTCGCTGTTGCCGTCCGCCCGTTAATTGTGCTCTTTCCTCTGTAAAGGACTCTAGATTTACAGAGGATAAACTGTTGATCGTTTCATTCATAAAAACTTGCTCCAGCTGCTTTGCATGTAGGAAAAACTCTTCAAGACGCACTCCAATCTCCGCAGTATCAGCTGCATCACGCACTGGATTAAATCGGCAGTGCGGAGGATATTGAATTGGAGGACACACAAGATACAAGCTGCGAGCAAATGCTGCATTCATTTTGGACAGCGCTACCTCACCCGCCGACGTGGTGGCTGTCGCACTGACATCCTCCTCGATTTTCATCTGGTAGATTACTTTCTAATAAAAAAGAAAATATCATTTTATGAATATTCAATTTATCGTATATGGCAGATTACTAAAATCGATTCATGATCTTTTCATTATAGTTTAAAGCTTATGCACGATGACTTCGGTCACATAAAATTAGGATCCCGCCATCTCACTCTTACTCCGTCCGATTGATCAGTGCTGAAGCAACAAACTCACTGGTATTACGCCGACCAGAGTGTACACTGACACTGTAGACGAGCAAGTTCCCGCACATTGCACAAGCATTCGCGTTGTTTTCTGATGAAAGGACTTGACCGCACGCATCACACGCCATACCAGTATACGTGGGAGCCAGCACAGGAAATCCGTTGACATACTCCCGCTGGATATTTAACGCCTCATCCAGGGCTCTCCAAAGTGGCTCAGCTAATGAACAAGCCACCTCTCCACCCAAAAGCTGCCGTGCTGTTACATTAGGGCCATAACACTTTGCATTCAGTGACTTGCGCGTGCAAATGATAGCGCCACTAAGCCCAATGCCGCCATAAAATCCTTTGCTATGACTATACGAGTAATTAGGTGCAACGCCACCAGGTCCCATATTAAGTGAAGCACTTGCGGCTCGCCCAATAGGCCCGACAGCAATGTCAAGCTCGGAGCCCAACTGAATTTGACCATTTCGGGTGAAAACTTTTACAGCACTTCTCGAATTTAAGACAATCATATAATTGACAAGCTCACCGCCTGCCATCATACCAAAGCCAAATCCTCCCGACTTGACAAAGCTGGGCGCCGACCATCCTCCTGTTGTACGTGATATAACAAATCCTGTTCCAATCTTTCCTGTAAACAAAAAGCCTGCCTTGTACATAGTCACAAACACAAGACCATATGCTTCAGCCAGCAGTTCATGTGGAATTGACTGGTCTTTTAGCAACTTTGGGGATAAAAAAGTTCTGACCACTTGAGCTGCATAATCCATTTCCTTTTTCAGCTTGGCTTTGGCTTTCAAACTCATTGTATGATCAGTGACCGAATGTACACGCATAGACTCCATGATCGCAAGCGAGTTCGAGCGCTCTCGAAGCGCCGCTGCTGCTTCTTCTGGCGTAGTATGAGGCCCAATATCTGACGTCGTTCGAGTCAGCAGCATGTTGTTAGCGATATTGGTACTGGATCGTGTCGCTTGCTGATGATCTTGTTGCAAGATCAAAGCCTTGGTAGATGGTCGGAGTGTGTAGCGTGAAGAGTCTATGAAAGAATTGTTGCTGTTACTGGATGATGAGGACGTGACAGAGCCTGGATTAGACTGAGGCAGGCCATAACTCTGTTTAAGCTGCGATGAATTGTATTCAGCATTCATCTTTCTGCTCTGTCGACGAGATTTAAGAATGCGTGACGGTTGCAGCGTCCGCTAAAGCAGCAGAGCTGCGATGAGGAGCACACCGGGAAATTTGGATTTTCAGCACACTCGCTCTTTTTTCTGAGCCGAAGACTGATGGGAGTAGACAGTCGATAAAATTACTGTAGACGCCTTTACCCAATTCTTTTGTTCTCTTGATGAGCAGCCAATTTATAGCTTATTTAAGAAAGATTAGCAAGAACTTGGGAAAGAAACGTCACTACTTATGTTGTCTACGATTGTAATGTAAATGAAGCGTTTCATAGTATTATACCATTGAGAGGAAGGCTTTTAGTTCGTATCGAATCTAACAACTCGTAGTTCTCATTATCTCCATCTGACTTCGCCGCATCGAGAGAAACAACCGTTTGTCTACAATGTACGGTAGTGCAAAGAAATATGCACTTCCTCTCATCTTGATTACTTAACTCCAATGCGTGCGGTGATCAGCATCGTTAGCTGCATTGCCCCATTTAATGGTACCAAATAAAAGAACCGCGGCTGGGATGAGCACAAGGCCGTTCTCTTTAATCTTACGAATCGTCTTGTGCGGCATCGTTGTGATGAGGCTGCGTACCGGATGCACTTCGTACGGCGACAGGTGGCGAGTGGTACGACCAAACTCTTGACCGAATTTAGACCAGAACTTGACGAGGTTTACGCTTGGCGCCATCTTATCTCTTGGAATGCTGTGCTGTTGTTGGGACGTGCGGCTACCACGAAAAACCTTAACGCTGGATTAACCCCACATTTTAATACATCATTCTTACCTAAATGATAAATATGTATGATACACTTGTCCTGTTCTGACTACCAGACGTACAGTTTGTATTCAGCTCAAAAGGCATCCAATTTCCGTGGCGGAAAAGGCGTTCAGTTATGCTTTCAAATCGGGAATTGGGAAAGAATTTGCAGCAGCAACGATGATAACGTTTTGATTGTTGTCACTCTTTTTTTCGGGGAGAATTGTAGATGATATCCTCATTCTCATACTTCATTATGTTTCATAATGTAACACGTTTACTTACAACCATATAATCATCTGTCATGCATAATGTTTTATAATGTATCTGATTAGACCGCGGGTAACCAGCTTCATATCTTCAATATTTTCGGCGCCAGGCCATGATAATCCATCAAGGTCCTCAAAGTAGTGTGGTAGAATATTTCTGTGTATTCATCAATGACTTATCACGGAGAAAATCTGTCAAATACATGCCATTTCTGAGCACGATGTGCTAACACTATATGGCTGTCTCTACAATTTAATTGTAGAGCTCAATAAATGCTCTAAATTAATATGGGTCTTTTTTTTGATCGGTAAGACGAAACATGTGGTATAATCTGCTCCTGTCAAATCCAATTTTCGAGAAAAAAAGTTGAATATTATTAAGCTAAATACTCGATTCCAAACCTTCAAATGATAGTACCTGTTTAAGTGCATAGCTAAAAGCACAAGAAAATAAACGCTCGAATTAATGGTACGAGCCGGACCAATTACGTCCAAGCTCAAAAGTCACATCCTCAAGACTTTTCATTCCCAGATTTACTCCTAATTTTAATAGGATGGCATACCGCAAACACTTTCTACTACTTGTGACCGCATTGGTGGTGACTATTGTAGCTTCGCGTGAGCTAAGCAATTATCACTATCGATTTCTAGAGGAGGTTGAGGAAGAGCAGGAAGAGGAAGATATCTCCACTAGCAGTCTAAGCTCGTGGTTAGGCAGCGGCAGTGGTAGTGATAAATTATCGGGCTTTCCAGATGTGGGAGAGGAATCAGAAGCAAGCGATAGTGACGATAGTAAGGAAAAGGAGAAAGTGAAACATACTAAAGGTGGTAATGAGAGTGACAGCGAGGAGGAAAGCGAGACTTTGGATGAAGAACATGAAGCTGTCCAGCATGAGAAGGTTACAAGTAGCGATACGAGCAAGAAACCTGCAGATAGTAACAAGAATGGTCTTAGTCAGAACGTGTCTACCACGGATGATGTTGTTGCTGTAAATTCGACGAAAGATGCGAAGAAATCAATGATCAAGCGCTCCGGGTCGGGATCGCTCGATAGCTTGGTGGAGATTGTTGGTAGTGAAGAAATGGAGGAGGATGAGGAGGAGGAAGAAGATGAGGAAGAAGATGATGAGGATGAGCATGATGAAAATGATGATGATGATGCTGATGATGAAGAAGAAGAAGAAGAAGGCGCGAAGAAGAAGGCTGAAGCCGACAAAGTGAAGGATAAAGATGGCGCTAAGAATCCTACGACACAAAGCACCAAGAAGCAAGAAGATAAGGAGAAAGTGCAAGAATCGAGTGACTCAGATGACAAAGATCACGGAAGTGAAAGGCACTCTAACGATAGCAGCGCAAGCGACATGGAGCAAGGTCACGAAGACGGGAAAAAGAATATTATCGATAGTGCGGTTAATGCCACCAAAAAGGCTGTCGAGACTGTGAAAAATGGCACAAAGAAGGCGCAAGATGACGACAAGAATGTCTCGAGTGGTTTAGACTCAATGTCAGGTTCTGGCTCTGGTTACGAGACTGTGGATGTAAAAGATCTGGAGATGGATGAGAGTGGAAGTACTGACCATTCAAAACATGAAGTGGAGCAAAAAGACAAAATCAAGAAAGAGAAGGAAAATGTGAGTGACTCAAAGTCGGCCAGCGATGAGAAAGGAGATGATGAGAAAGATAAGAAGGTGGCGAAGAGTGACAATTCGGAACATGAAGACGAAGCCAGTGAAAGCTCTTCTGACGAACGAGAAAAGGAAGAGGAAGAAGATTTTGAAGAGATGCAGCATTACAAAGGATGGCCAGATGCCGAAGAGGGTGCGTCTGACGACGTAATGAATGTTAAACAAGACACAGTTCAATCTCACTCAGATGAGGACTCTGCTTCAAGTGGTGGGGACGATGTCACTGATCTCGTTCAGAATGGCGGTAAAAAGAACACGTCTCAGAATGCCGACGACAGCGCTGCAAGCGTCAATCTGGATACAGTAGACGTTGTAGGAGACAGTTCGGACGGCGTAGACTCGGCTTCTTGTTCAGGATCGCTAGATGACACAATGAATATCCAGCAAGAGCAACTGAGTGAGGAGAGCGTAGGGCTTGCTGAGAAGAAGGCTGAAGAGGCTGAAGCTGTCGAGTCCAGCCAATTCATTAGAGTTGGAGCAGGTTTTGGGGCTTTTGTTGGTTTCATTGCCGTAGCATTTGCAGTTATTGTTCGGAAAGTCCGTAGCCGTAATGGGGGTAATTCGGTTGATGAATCAACTGTAGCCATGAAGACTGATGTCAGTGGTGATGGTCATTCTGAGGATGATTCGTTAGAGGTGGGCGCACTGGACGAAGACGATGTCGATACGGAACGTGAGAACGAAGACGAGGAAGAAGGCAAGTTTGTGGGATCTGTATAAACCCTGCGGGCAGTCATTAGCGTCTCAACGTCGTCAATTGTATTTGATTGCGTTTAAACCCCTAGATTCTACATTACATTTGCTCAAAGAAATTTTGTCGTTTTATACTAGTATTGGCAATTTTCCCTTTTAATTTTTTACCAACTCAGACTTAGTATCAGTTTTATAATTTAGCAAATCCGCTAGATTTTACATTATCAGGCACTTTGCTATGTTTTAAATACCAAACTGATGCATTTCTGGGCAGCGGCGATTAGTTCTCATGATAAATATTCGATATGAATACAGATAGATGATGGCACACTGTAAAGGAAAGGCTCTTTGCTAGCCTCACGTTATGCTTTATGTTAAGTTCGACAATTATAGATAGTAATTTATTTGTATTTTATACAACCATTTTAGCCTGTTTTATATCTAGTATATAATCTATCTCACTTAAGGAATGATGCACTCGATTTGGCACCCCGGCGAGCCCATATTCTGTGCGTTAGTTAGTGTGGACTCAAATCATTGAGGCTATATTGATGCAAGGCGCGCGGCAGCTCCATTGCGCGAAATAGAAAAAATACGTTCCTTTTTACAGCTTCTACAATCTTAAATGCAAAAGATGTCGATCAATATTTCTATAAATCGGGATTGCGTGATTGGCCAAGTTCTGACACAACTGTACAAAGGTGTGTATTACACAAGTTAGTGTCACACGGTGAAAGCCGTACAAAGGTGTGTATTACACAAGTTAGTGCCACACAGTGGTGTGGCTACACCTTAGCAAGAAGAGGAAATCATAGGGTTAGCGCAACCAAAAGATATAGATAGAGTTTCGATCGATTTTGAACAGAAATGTTCGTTTGTCTTGGTCAGGTTTATAGTACTTGGAGGTAGCGGATTGGAATTCGCTACACTCGTACTGGTTCTTGGAAAGAACGTGAGATCGATGACGTTAGCTTAGCTTCCTCTAAGCAAAGAGCTATGGCAGCCCCGCTGCAGACAGATAATTAATAAAAGTTTGGTTGAGGTGTCGTTGACGAGAGACGCAGTGGTGATAGATTTCTTATGCTGGTGATATGATAGACAAAATAACACTTTTCTTGTTTCTCAATGTCATTTAAGTGGTTATTGTGGAAGTGTATGTGTTTGTCGAAGGCATGTGGTGCGTGATAACAGGAAGAAGGGAGAAGGAAAATGTAATGGTCACCTCTTAAGATGTTTATCAATTAATTTGAGCATCGTGGCTGGGAACTACGCCTCCTCGTACTAATAACGACTTTGCGTTGTGTAGCTTCAGGCTGAAACTTGCGTTATAATCTCCAAAGTTCACGTTTACACATTAAGTACAGTCAGACGTCCGCGTAGTCTTAACAGAGTTTAGTGTTTGTTTAGGTCTTGGTCGGACTCATTCCTTGCGAATTTAAAGGCAGCTGTATATCATGACCCTTTCTTCTCCCTGGTCGCATGTATTTTACGTTTTCTTATATGACCGTTTACAATAAGTTGTGTTTGGTTGTTACTCGCAATCAATCTGTCTAGATGCATTCATTCGAAAATTCAGCTTCGCACGTCAGGCTATTACTGCAAAAATGTAGATTGTTTTCACGAGATACCACCATGACCACCATCATGATTCCCACCTAGCTTGGCGGTGTGGTCAGCTTCGGTAGGCTGGATTTAGTGAAGCTGCTAGGCAACCCACGTCAATCTGGACCTGTGATCACGTTCATTTCGAGGCAGCCATAAATCTTTCTTCCGACAACGGCTCAGCAAGTCGCTGACAACCAATTAGCGGCGCTTGGCGCGGTGCCTATACCAATCTGAAAATCCAGAAGTTCGGAAAATTTGGTGGCTCATTTTATCATGGCGCAGTGATCATCGCTTTAGTCCTACAATTCAGCATTTTGCGTGGCTAGAGCATTTTTCCATCTCCATCTTTGCCACAATTTACTGTAAGCGGATCGAGGCTTTCTATTCGTATACGAGTCGAAGGATGAAAGGGCGTGTTTAAACACCTTACACTTTATAGTTTGTGGTATTGGTGTCGCAATTCATAAATATTTCAAGTAAGACAAAGTGTTTTTTTTAATTTTACTTTTCTTCGTGACGTCGATTCCAATAAGGTCCTCTATCTCTGGCTGGGACAGTCGTAGTGGAGTTAAGATCAATAATAATATCGCACCACCAAATGAAGTTGCTGCTCATGATACCCTGGGATATTATTTGACAAAATGATGACAAAAAGATTTTTTTGTTTGGTCGCACTCCATGTTGGTTTAATGTACGCATAATGTTTATGCACAGTTTCATTGCCAACATGAGACTTGAGTTATATATTCTGCTTTGTTAACTCTGCTAGACGTGTTCAGTGAGGATCTGCCGAAAGGTGAGGCTGGCGACATCACAAGCCATATACCCTGTCTTGATAGCAACTGAAATTGTATTGTCGGACCAAAAGCATTGCACGGAGCTGGAAACGTAAAAAGGATGTATCGCAACGGATTGTGTGTTTAATATATCTATTCACATATCCACTACATAAAACGGAATGTACCTTAGAGCTTTTACATCTAATTGGATAATAAGAATGGTGTATCTTCTAAAAGATCAAAAATGTAATAAACTTATATACAGTTGTCCTTATAATTATCAACACATCCTTTCGCCAACAACCACACAAGAAATTTGCTTGCGCATAACAGCGCAAACAGACAATACGGGTGGTCCAATGAGATTTGACATTTCGTTAGTCCAAGGCAAAACTCCTGCTATATTGATTTGGGCTGGTATCGCTATTTTTTCTTCCTTAAATTCTAGTTAGACTTTACGGCATACAATCCCCTGAGGTTGTTGGTCGTAAAAGTCTTGCATAAGACTCGGAGTGCAATCACAAAAGGGAGGGGCGTCAGTTCAGGAAGATATTCGACTTGGAATTGATTACGAGCTTAAATTAAGGAAAAAGCATGGCGCATCTTATAGAGCAATATTAACAAAAGTCATGGGCCTTGAGAGCGGCACAGATAAATGTTTTAGATGTCAAAGTAGTGCTGCAGCAGCTAGCCGACCGCGGATCAGGGGAAAGGTCGGAGGCGATAGTAAAGGGGCTTGCGATGCCAAAACATTATGGAAAGGTGGAAGAGAATTTCGTATTGATCGTCCGCCAAGTCAACACCTCTTAAAATCTAAGGCGATTGATTCAAATGCAATAGAAACTTTGTGCAGAGATGCTGGCAACGTTGGCTGCAAGTTTAGGAATACTTGCTGCTGCATGATACTATTAACATGTTAAGTCAATGAGAACGTTATCAAAATGTCATATAAAAGATAAGATGAGAGCACAAGCCTGCAAATTTATAGATCGATTAAACGACTAATGATTCAGCTTGAAACAGAAGAATTGTAAAGTATTTTTGAACTAAATTAGAAGATGCCCTCGCATATACACACAAATTGCAGCCATTTTGGTGTCAAACAGATGACGGAAAGTACGTACGAAAAAAAAATACAGACCAAAGATGCGATACCATAATTTTTTTTCTAAAGAGCTCTTAAGTTCGAGTGGGCTCATAGCTTCACATTATAGGCTGACAAGCGCAGAAAGAATCTAGATGCGGGTTGATTGACAGGGCAAAGAATACCCTCAACCCGTCGCGATAAGAAGATTACAGGATGGAGGTCGATAACGTGAGTCTGTGACGAAGGCATTTTTACCAGGGGAAAAATTCAGCTGACTTAGCATGATATGCTACAGCGGTGGAACAATGATACATTATGATGCTCAATGTACGCAGCTGACGCATAAATAAGGAAGGGGGCTTGGGAATCAATTCAACTTCAAGTGCGAGACCGACTAATACAAAACAACATTGATACCGTGGAAATTGAACCACCGTTATGCGACCGCTCGAAGGTATCTTGGTAGAGTCGTTATCAGTCTGGTCGACCTCCATTGGTTTGACACTCTTTTAATCGATCTAACCGGTTCTGTGATTTCATCATCGCTGTCGAATCGCACAAGTTGATCACCAACGACTTGCATAAAGTTAAATTTTGGTTGTTTGTTGAAAATAGTAGAGCAAATAAAATCCAATCGCTTGATTCGATGCTCCACACTTGATTTCCCTTCTCTTCGTTCGATTATCCCTAAAATATACATCAGAATACTTTTGTGTCATATTCGCACGCTCTGTCTGCGTAACCTTGAGCTCAGAAAACACCCATATTGAAGAGATAGGGCTTTCTTCCAGAGCATACTTTAAATGGAATCTTCTGTGAATGAACAGCACACGAAACTCGTTTGGTCACATCGACGACCGTGTTCATCGCTTCAACTAACTATTTCTTCTCCATTTGCTTTTGATCTTGCACGCTCCGTGATTATTCTGTTCATCCGTTTCACCATTCCGTTATGTTGAGGCGAATACGGAACCGTAGCTCGATGAAAAATGTCAGCTTTTCGACACGGCTCGATTGAACCGCATATTGATATTCGCCACCATCGCTGGTGCGAAACACTCGATCTTGGAAATTAGTATGTTTCCAGCCTCAGCTTGTACTCGATGTATTGATTTGCCGTTTCAGACTTGGGGGAATGTAGTACGCCACCACAAATCTCGAAAATTGTCGATAATGTTACGACGAATCTTGTTCCTCCATTTGGTTGGGTCTCTATTGGACACATAACGTCACTGTGAATGACTTGGCTTTGCCTCTCCGTTTCCCGACTGTGAAAACGGTTTTACTGACGACTTGCCCGTCACACATCATTCGCATATGTCATTGTCATCTTCATTGTTGTCATCACATGGCTTCTTCAGCTAAAATCCGTCGACATACCCTTCAAGGGGCTATATAATTGACAAATGGCCCAAACCGAGCATGCCATTTACCGGGACTTGCTGGTTTCGTTCCTGAACCAAATTCTCCACTGATGTTCGCTGTTTTTGCTAAAATTCGAGCAACTCGCCCTTCTGTGTCACTGAGTCACAACATCTTGAACATTCTTGCTCTTGCATAACGCGTTCCCAAATGTAATATTTAATCCTTTGGTTGATGAAGTCGTAATCAACAGAAGTCTCCGATCGAATCGGGAAGATACAGAACGTTTTCGAATCGGTGTCTTATTCTTCAAAATGACTCAATTTGTACCGACTCCGGTCGCCAATACGTTGCCACCATTCGTGACTGAAACCAATTGATTGGTCAAGTGTGGGTATCTGCGAATTCGGCTAGTAATGGTCAAATGTGGTTGCTTGTACTAATGTCTAGAAGGCATACTATCGAATGGTGATTCGATTCCTCGACCGCTGAACCCCTGCTGCATGACTAAATGACTTCTAGGACTATCCATCAGTCATTAACTGCAAACTTAAACTGATCATCGTGCACACAGTTGCGAAGGGCTTCATATTGTTGACACTCGTACTCGTTTCGCCGTCTTCGCTAGGGCCTTTGTAGCGTCGATGTGCTCTAAGAGAGCCTTCTTCGCAAGCTTCATGCGAGCATTGAACTCCCACACAAAGTATTTTGCGTTTTGGAAACGGTCGTTGGTTTCCGGTATTATTTGACTCATAATCATGTGGGGTGCGAGACAGAGGAGAAAGGTCGAAGAGGGTGTTTTAGGAAGACATTTGGAAAATATCGATTGCTTTACTATTATTTCTAAATGTGGCTATATTAACTTTTACCACTCGGTAGGTTGTCTTTAGAACTTATTCTTTAATCAAATGTGAAGCGGCGCCCCTCGTCGCCGTACACCCGGTGCTTCTCGGCTGTAGCCAGGGAAGCCCGGAACCGACTGTGGATGCGAGCGCATGAGAGCTGCCCTGCGGGCAGCCTCTACCTGCTGATTCGGTGTCTCGTCGAGGCGATTGGTGATAATACCACTTCCTCCAAAAGTCGAGAGGTCGGGAAACGGACGCGGTGTCCGCAAGGCTCGAGCAGGGCTCACGTTGCGCCGCTGGCGCACCTCGCTTTCCTCTTCTTCCCATGAGTATCCGACTCGTAGTTGACTTCTTTCGAATCCTCGACGAGAAAATTCGTCGCCCGTTGCTGGCACATCCGTAGCCGCAACGGGCTACGGATGTGCTACCCGTAAAGCCGCGGACGTACTGTCGAATGCTGCACCACGTGTAAGAGACGAAGAAGGGCTCTGCACACGGACACTCTCGGAACCAGCGAGGATGGGTGTTTTTGGTGTCATAGACACAAGGCTCATTGTACAGAGAATGCGTGAAGAAGGTCCTGGAGACGAAAAGGTGTCTTTGACATGCGATTATTGTACGAGGCGACAGTTAAATGTGAATTGTGGATATTCACAATTTTGACGGGAGAGAGTGTAACGGGATTACACGTACCTTGGAATGAAAGGATGGGTCACACAAGATGGTGTGACCGTACGAAGGTGTGGACTGAACAAGACAGTGTAATCACACAAAGGTGTGGTTACACCGTAACATGTAGCCACTGCGAGGCGGGACTGCCACTTGTTATTCACACTAATTAGGTTTTACTATTTAATTAAGATAAACCATATATTTTGATATAGGCGGCTGTAGCGCAAAGAAAACAGATAAATACAGTTTGAATTTTGAATGAAAGACTATATTTGTCTTGGGTTAAAGTTCTGGGTACTCTTGAAGGTAGCGAATTGCGATCCGCTACACTCGTACTGGTTCTAGAATAGAACATAAGGTCGGCGACCTTATCTTAGCTTTCTCTAAGCAAAGGGCGGCCACGGCAGCCCCACTGCATGACCTGATTCCGCAGCTTCAGTTGGACCTCGTAAGTAGTTCGCAGTGGAGAATATTTCACGCCTTGAAAACCTCCAGCACACTTTAAATACAGAGACACACGACACTAAGCTTCAGACTATATATCAAGAGTAAAATAAGCCTTACTGATGCAGATTAGGCTTGCGACGTCAAAACTCGACGCAGTCGAAGATGACTGATAGATGCATCAGCTTGAGAAGCAAGAAGCATCGCGCGGTGAAACAGGAATTAGCTTAATGCATTTCTAAAGGAGCTAGGTGAAATGAAATGCAAAGATTCTGTCCAGATCTTCGGGAAAATTTGAGTCTCGAATGCGTTGTCTAAACCACGAGTTTCATATGGGCACAAGATAATCGTCCCTCTCTACCATTTTGTACGTGAGAAAAGTGATTAAAACAAGGTGGTTCCGCAATACTGCTTGACGAAGGACATTAAGGCGTCCCAGATATCCTAGTCGACTACTGCCGTGCCACTTGAAAGACTCTGACGTAAAGTTTGGGATCCAGTGTCCAAATGCTGACGAGTCGAGTCGGGTGTTGAAGAGGAGACGCCTCGACAGCAATGGTATATCGGTAAAAACAGATACTACGAAAAATTTGATAGTGGTGTGTCTATAGCCAAATATCTTGAAAGACTGGACAGTCAACAGAATCAAGCGTGTTGATCACATTTGAAATGTCCAAGAAGTTAGAAATTGTAGAGAACCAGTTCGTGGTACCCACTACTAATGTTGTAGAACGTCGAATCAAAAAGGCATTTGGCGAAAAATTTAGTTTCACGAGTTCAGGCTTCTATTGCAAAAATAGTGCTCTACACGTCGGGCTCTCTTGCTGAAAGAAATTGATGCATAGACCACACAGATAACAAGTTGATCAGTGACGCAGTGTAAGCTCGCACTTATCGTAAGTTTATTAATGCCGCAGCACTAGCCCAGACCTGATTTTGTTGAAAGCGTGTCGTCGAACATGTTTTCAGCTGTCTTTTTTAATGTACGATAAATGATTTATTTGCCTGGTTATTGAATGTACAATACCTTGGTTTTTCATAAATGTATTCAGATATATGCTCTCTTCCCGCACTGCATTTATCGCCGTCTCTTATGGTGCTTGTAGTGAAACATCCACCATAGATGAGATAAATTAATACTGACAGCGCGTCTGCGGTCCATAGGAGGTCAACAGTTGCTATATCTTTTTGTGTATCTAACATGTAGATAATCACGAATGTACAGACGTTCTCTTAAGTCAGCAGAGTTCCGTTGAAAAACCAATAATTTTCAAGATATACACTACCTGCGCTATTGTGCTGGGAAGGGAATATTGCGCGATCTACTTGAATTCTCGAAAGCCTTTTCAAAATGATTCAGTCAGATATTTGCTGATAACGTCGTTCGGTCTCAGAGTTGCCCAGGTAAGGATCTGCTTTCGAGAAATAATGATAGATTAGAAATCCAGTGTCTAGCCTTAACAAACGATCAGTGAACCATATACATGTGCGCTGTTGCATTAAAACTGTGAATTACTCAATGCTTTGGATACACTCAAATGAAGCGACATATTTCAAGCCTCGTAAATCTCATATATTGATCTCGTATATATATCAACACGAATGACTTTCATCATATTCCACGAAGAGAAAACTCGAGAGGGACTTATTACTATGATTTTGATTGTATAGACAAGCTTGGTCGTGCGAAGCAATGCTTTCTCTGCATTCATGAGTTGTCAGAGTAGTTTTACTGCACCGTAAGTCCGGCTGCTAAAAAGTGATTGGTTGGGCCTAAAGCAACTCATAAGATCTGATTTGCCTTCAGTAAAAGACTGCCGCTCAAAAGTGGAGCAGGACATGATCAAACGCCACATACTGTACGAGATTATGACTTCTTGAAAGTTGGAGGTGACCTTTGCTCAGTCACACGATCGTCACGGCCGATACAACAGCAGGAACACTTTACGATTAGCCATGTTACTCAGCAGCGGTGCGAGATTTTCTAATTGACTTGAAACTACCGACCAGACCGAAGATACTAGAGGGTGGAGTGGAGTTACATCACAAGCTCCCAAAGGGCGCTCATGGGTTCATCTCGTGTCCGAAAAACCGACGATTGAGGTTTGTCATCGGGTCCAAATGCATCTCATGTTTGATAACCGACGATTGAGGTTTGTCCTAACGGTCTAAGGAAATTTGATGTGTTTCCAGACAGACCCTGATGTCTTTCCAGTCACTTTACATTGATCTAAAGTACTCAAATTTTCAAATAGTTTATGTCTTCCAGTCATAAAAAGCAATTTCCATGTATTGTAGGCTCCGTGCGACTTATTGCAAAGCAAATCATAATGAGCGAGATAACTACATGTTTGTTATCTTCAAAATGTCAGGTTTAAAACAGCAACACGTGAGAGCAAATGAGCAGCGTGTGTCTCTCATACAATAATCCATGACAATGATTGCTCTTATAAAGGTTGACATATTGTCACTTGAAATGCATAGTTCTTCTTGTCGATCATAAACGAATTCTATACTGAAACCAAGATTACTAAATCAAATAATTTTACGGTAGGATTTACCAAAGTAATAGAGCAGTACTACTGCTGTTCGTATACTATAATTTGTTTCCTCTCGACCATTTATGCGTAAGATGTACCTTTTCCTCTCACTATCCACCATACGAAGGCGTAGAGAGCAGTCATGTGTCTATGGCTTCATCTGGTCAATAAAGATAGCAACAACATCAATATCCACTCACAAAAAAGGCAAAACCCTATTTTGTCTGGATCTCATCTAAACAGTGACGTCAAAAAATCCATTTTACTCTTTTCAGTGTCCAACAGTTCAACAAACCTAAACTGATGTTATTGTACCGCCTTCTTCTCTTCTCATTCTACAATTTCCTCTTTGACAAGTAAATCTATTTCATCAAACTATTGACATTTTTACCCTTAAGTATGAAGCGCACGTCACCAGCAATTGCGACTTTATTTTTCATCTTTTATGAGCTATGGACCCTCGTTAGCGCCTCTGACTCGGCCAGTGATACCGTCAAGTCGCTCTTTGACTCTGCCGATGGTATTGAAATTGGTGGTAGCATTTTGGCTATTATCGCCATTGCTGTTGGTGCTGTGATGATTGTTATGGGTTACCGTCTGTTTCGAGCCGCGCTTTTTGCCGTCGGATTCGTAGTTGGCGGTGTCGCTATTGCCACACTTGTTGAACATATATTTGATGACGAATCTTGGGTCACTACGGCATCGTGGGTAGCGTTTGTAGTTGGAGGTCTAATATGTGGCAGTATCGTCATGACACTCTATTCATTGGGTATCTTTGTTATTGGAGCTGCTGGTGGTGTCGTGCTCGCCATGATGATTCACAATTCGGTCGGCCACAAGATTTACGCGGAACACCCTCAGGTCGTGCTTATTGTGTTATGTATCGCGCTTGGCATTATTGGTGGCATCTTGGCACTCAAGATTGAAAAACCCGTGCTTATTGTGGCTACGAGTCTTTTTGGCGCTGGTATATTAGTCTGGGGTATTGGCTACTTTGCAGGCGACTTTCCCACTACCACTGACCTTAAGGAATATGGATCGCGTGATATCAATGGTGATTGGGTCTACTCGATACCGGATGCGTGGTGGGCCTATCTCGCCGGTATTCTGGTACTCTTTGGAATTGGATTGGCTATCCAATTCCGTAAAACTGGCAGAAATGGTGTGTATCACAGGTCGCACGCTATTGGCCGCACAGAGTCTGTGCAGTACGTGGAAGCCACAACGCCGCACGAACACAAGCTTGGCAATCCAATGAGTCACGTATAAGCACGACCGGTGGACGAGTCGGCAATTAAGGTGTATGATGTATTCTATATGAGAAGTTCGCCAAAAGACTCTACTTTAGACAGTATAACCATTTATAATTTTTTTAGTCAATCCATCAATTGAAGTAGAATCTGTTTGATCCATCATTTTGTTAATGTTCTCGGCCGGTGGTCGCATTAGATTTAGCACGCGCTCGCAAAATGAGAGTATTTCAATTGTTACAATTTATGAAAATTTTTGGTTTCACGTAAATGAATGTTCTGCGTACTATAGTAGTTGATTGTGACATGTCAGTATGTAAATTAAGTTGATCTGGATATTCCTGACCTAAAATTCCCGTCTTCGTAAAATTTAATGTAAAATTCCTTTGTAGTTTCACTTTCCAGAAACTTTGGTGTTGAGAAGCATACGAAATTTCGATCGTGGAAGCCAAGAATGAAGTGCCAGATTTACAAAAAGATCTACATCGAAAATGTCGTGAACTTTACATATAGGAAGCATCGTTATAATGAGGTCGCGTAAGTAAACGCAGAGGCTGCGTATGTACGCTCCACCCAGTAAAGCATCTGTAGTGACTAGGTATATCGTTCAAGTTCAAAATGTATCTTGATCGATGCTTATACCACTGAAATACATTGTGCCATCTCTTATAATAACATTTGTTGCTTTCTTAATTGTTTGACGTGCGGCTCGCTATCCTTTACGAGGTCCCGTCATCTTTATAAATGATACTTCGGTCTAATGAATAATCACATTAACAGCTAAGAACTATGTAAACCCGTCCAAATGTACAGTATTGGTTTAAGGCAGTAGAAAATTGTACCAGAAGTGTACGTTGTGATATTATTGAACCAGCAATTGGTCGGTAAGACCTTGAAAGGTTTAACACATTGTTGCTGCACGAGTGTGGCGTGGAAGAGTTGATTTTGCTGGAATTACAGCTTAAGGTCTTGATTTTTCTTGCTTGTGTAAGAAGGAAGTCGTTCTAACCGTGCGAGAGTGCTGTGTGCTTACACCAATTACTTGGATGTCAGTCGATGCGCATCCAGCCTGAAGATTTGGGGTTAAACGATGAAATCTGAGCCATCTGGACTTGTGCAGATGGCATAAAAGCTTAGAGTTGAGTCCGACAATAGTTTTCATAAGTGTGCAGATTAAGACTAAAATTTCTCGGGCGTACAAGCCAAAGCTATCAATTGAGCTCGATATTACGTTGACCAGTACCAAATGGCGATCGAAGAGTGAACATTGCAATTTTAAATTCTGTTGCTGAAAATTCGTAGCTCAGATCTATTTAATACGTCATCGTAAAAGCTTGGGCTTGAAAACCATGACTCGAATATGTACAATGTGTATGTGCCGACTTGTACAAAGGTGTATTGTCCGCACGATAGCTTGTTTAGTCATTCGAAGATTGTAAATTGTACGTGCCATCTTGAACACTTTGGGTAGCTGTGCATGCGCGTTGGACTTGATGTATTGGGATGAAACTCAAATTCTACGCCGTTTGCAGCTGTGCAGAAAACTAGAGACCCAGTATTAAATTCTTTATAGTCTTGTTCAGACTTCGAGGTGTAGAGTTTAGTATACTGTGAAGTTGAAGTTTGATGTGGCCGCAAAGTCTATATTTGCGATTAAAATATAAGCTCATAGCCATCTTCACCGTGACAGAATGTACAGAGGGTAACGCAAAGCTTTTGCAAAGGATTCCTGAGGTCGACTGGGGCTGAAAAAATGCGCTTTGCAAACAAAGTGGCTTTCGAATCTTGCAACGCTATCGGTGAATATTCGAGTAGGACTAACGAGCCACAAATGCCGTACCAAAGTTGAACCAGATTTCATCACCCTTGATCTTTTCTGTCAAGCTTTGAGCTAATGACTGTAGCAGCTACCGAGATCGATTTGAGTAGTCAACGCGACGATTGTAACTCTCACACCTTTTGAAGCTGTCGTCGTTTCCCCAGTTAACGATGAACTCTGTATTGTAAACTATAGTTAGAGAAGGAGGTGAGTTGTCAAGAATTTGTTCATTGTTATCGAAGTGGAGATCAAAAAGGCTGAAGAGAGTGTTACTCCTGAGTCTCGCCACTGGAAACACTTGGATAAATACATTATTTTGCTGATGCATCTGCGGCTGCGTAATCCATTTCCACCGAGATTGCAAAGGTCTGTATGATGACATTAACAATTTAGAAGAGATGAGGTGAAGTAGGACCAGATTGTCCGACGGTCGTAGCAATATGAAATCCGTTGAATCACGTAGTTGGGCCATTTATTGAAGTCGACTTTGTGCGTAACAGCATGATGGACGTGTGATTCATGTTAACCCGCAACATTTGAGCTAATACGTAATGTTGTACAACATCAGAAATTCACGTGCATGATTCACAACGGCCAATAACTCGGTACAGCGCGAGAAGAAAGTATGTTGATGATCAATCATCAACGTGCATTTAGCGAGTAAGACCTAGAGAACGTTAGTAACTTTTGAGCAATTCCACAGCGCAATGATATAGTGGATCGCCTTGTCGTAAATCGGTATCAAGCAGAAAAAAGTCTTAGTGTGTTTTATTCAAACGTAGACTAATAAAAGTCTCGCTTTGATTTAAGGTTGAAGCTTCCGCCATGCCCGAAACGATGGAGTACCATAAATATACCGACCACAATGAGCTATCGAAGAATTTCACACGATCAATTTAAACAACAGACACATGTCTATGCATTATTCTTGTAAGTCTTGAAATTGAACAAAAGAGTGAAGAATTGAAGTGGTGGGTGCAAAGTCAATGAATCAATGGCAGAAACATAGCCCAGTCGTCGCACTTTCTTTTAAATTAAGCTTAGTATCATGTCAGCAGATCAAAGTTTCGAGGCTGCAATCTGTCTCCAGTCTTTTATTGCAGTGAAATGTGCGTCAGTCGTCGAACCATAGACATTGCCCCAATGAACAATTGATTACCGCGTATAGCATTCTCGATTCGTATTCAACGATTTGACGCGATTTCGTTGATTTAGTATCCATCAGGATCTGGTAGATTTTCACTTGTACATTTTGCCTTCGTCAAATATAAGTTGCTATCGTTGATGGTGGTCCTTGCGTTGAATTTTAGTGATATGAGATCGTAAACAGTGGTCAATTTTGTGGCTCGTTTTATCAGATATAAGGGACTCCAAACTTGCTCATTGCTTATCTGAATTGCAACTTGTATGCAACGAAATATGCTAGTGCTTGCTGTGGTGCTACATTAATGAGTTTGATACATAAAATTTCATAGTCAAGAGCATCGTTGACTGCGGTGACCCGTGTCGCCATTTCACGCGCCCAATTTGTGCTATCATCTTAATTAATACATGTAATTAGCCCGTTTATATATGTAAAAACCATCCTGGCTTGGTGCAGTAAAACGTGCTCCGCTGACACGATTTGGTGTGTGATTATATGCAATACGTAAAAAAAGTTTCGATGTGTTCAATTGAGTCAACCTAAGTACGCGTTCCTTTAGTAGTAACAATACTAAACGAAAAAAAACTACCGCACGCCGCCATACTTGTAACTGGACCGAGTGCCTTTTCCTTGCTTGCGCAGTCATGTGCAAGATAATGACTTTGGGGTAGTTAGCAAACTGAAAAGTGTACTATTATTTCTAAATGTGACTATATTAACTTTCACCATTCGGTAGGTCGTCTTTAGACCCCCCCTCCTTATTCTTTAATCAAGTGTAAAAGCATTTTTCACAAATGTTCCTGAGCATATCGTGTTTCATGTAGTCCCACATGCAAACATATATATACATATATCTTCTATATGTCATTTGTTACATCCTCTCTCGGTATGGCTCCTTTTGTTTGTTTATCCTGGCACACTCTATCCTTTCACATATTGAACCAAACGCCTTAATAGGTCTAGGTTCTTGCTGTTCTCCTCTGGTCCCACGTAGCTTCAATTTCTGAATATCCATGCCACTACCCCATATATTCCTTCTTGCTGTAAATTTGTGTCTTATGAGTCTTTTGGCGTTCTGCTTTGTTGTTTCCTTGCACCATCTACATGCGACCGACCCGTGGTAGTCATGTATTACTGGATTTTAATGATTTCCATCAAATCTCTCCAAGTCAATTTCAGATCTTGATCAATTATGATCGTAGCCAGAACCACGTTGGTCGTCCCGGTCCAGTGCTCGCGTCAATAGTGCTTCTACTTCCTAGCAGAGGTGGCTGTATGACTCACCAAAGCTCCGCCAAGAGACGTGCGAGTGTTCGACCCCAAATCAATCCATGGCTCATGGTGTTCTAACCATGCCACACCAAGGATAATGTCATACCTTGATTCCAAGTCTAAGACTAAGCAGCTTTTCACGCTATATTATGAAGTCGAGAAACTTGCCACCGAGGTCCACAGGGTCATTCGGTACAATTACACAAGTCCCTGTCGCTAAGCGAATAGTGACGCTATCACTCAACCGCGCTTTCAGCGCCTCAGCATACAGCTGACTTTCTCAAAGCTCTTCACGGTCGCTTTCACGACCTGCGAGGCCGTTTTGCATACACGTTCCGTGTTCAAAAGCACTGAGCTCTTCGGGGTTGGGCTTTGCTGCTCTCTTCCTCTTTGAGGCTCAACAGCACTCAGTTCTTTCCCAGTAAGGCGCCCTGCACTTACTGGGTGTTCTCGTTTCCCCGCGACAAGCCAGAAGATTAGAGAGAGGCAAAACGTCGGTTCGATAAACATTGATGCGTCTTGC